GCTTTCAAGAGGAGACCGATGGGGAACGTGGCTTAGAGCTTGGTTCTTCTTGGAGGTCAGGACCCAGCACTGCCCCCCCCAACACACACCCTAACTGCTCTGGGGACATCCGTTAAAGCATAGTGAGTTGGTGTGAATTTCAGCTCTGTCACTCACTCCAAGAGACCCTTGAATACGTCATCTGGGCCTTGGTTTCTTTGTCTGTAAGATGCGGCGGACAATACAGCCCTTCTCATAGCGTTGTCCTGGGGACTCCAGGGAACCCCTGGTCTGCAAGGCCTGGCCCACCTCCAGCCCTCACCAGCTGGGGAGGGACAGTGTGCTGCCCCCTCAGAGCCCTGTTGGAGAAGGAAGAGCTTCTTGGCTGGGATGCTCGGCCGCAGTGACGTCCCCCTGAGTCACCCGGCGGCCGGCAGCTGGTGGGTGTTCTGGGCCCCAGGCCCCTTCCTCCCCCCATCCCTCCCGGTCAGGTTCCTAAGCAGCCCTCATGGGCACGGTCTCCGTGAAGGGGACAACGCTGCAGTCCATGCGTTTCTATGGAAACCAGCCTTCCTGGGAAGACAAGGGGGGGGCGCGGGTTGGGAGAAGTCCTGAGGACCAGCATGGGAATGATGTCCCGGCCCCGTGCCCCGTTAACGTTACTCGCTGCTGTCCTGAGGGAGCCCGGAAAGGGTGCCAGCCCCTCCGATGCCTCCCTGCGCGGTGAGGGAGGAAGCTGGGAAGAGGGAGTAGTGGGGTTTCACACAGGAGGAGGTGGAGGCTCAGAGAGGGCAAGTAACTTTCCTGAGGTCACAGAACAGTTGAGACAAAGCACTGGGGTTTGAGCCCAAGTTTGCGCAGTCGTTAAGTACTCGCCCCCCCACTCTGTCATCCTCCCCTGACACTTGTCCCCCGATGAGCCCGCCCTTCCTGGCCTCCTGCCCTCTCTGGGGGCTTTGCTTGGTCTCTACCCCATCACGGCCCCTCTGTCTTGCTGCCGCTGGGAGCTCTGTGGCGATGTTCCCTCCTGGCCTCAGATGTCACTGGACATGAGGAAGGGGGAGGGGCTGCAGGTACCCGGACCACGGCCAGCAGGCGGCGTCTCAAGCCCTCCCCCCACTCAGTAATTGGTCACCAACACTGGTAGAGCTCCTCCTGGGCCAGGAGCCATCCCAGGCCCCGTGGACAAATCCACAGACCCCTGCCCGGTGGCGCTTGTCTTCTCATGATGGCTGCAGCTTTCTGAGACAGGGGGGTGACATCTCGCCCAGCCCTCCAGCCTCCACATCTCCTGGGCACTCCAGAGGCTGGGCCTTCCGCCCAGAGCATCTGCACCCACTCTCCTAGGGTCTCCAGCCCTCACCACCCGCTCGCCCAGGGCCACCTGGCCAGGAGGGGTGTCCAAATTCCAACCCAGCCCAGCCTGACTGCACAGCCTCTTGCCTGCCCCCCTCGGCCACCAGCTGGGCCCTGCCACGCAGAGCTGGGGGTGAGCCTGAGCGTGCTGGGTGGCCTTGGGGAGCCCTCCTTCCCTCAGCCCAGCGGTCGCTCATTTGCCCGTGTGCATGCCGTGCCCGCTGTGTGCCGAGGCCCAGTGGGGGGACTCTTGGGGGCACAGTCAGCCCTGCCTTCAGATTGGTGGTCTCAGGGAGCCCAGTGCCCATGATGTGACCAGGAGGATGGGCTGGAAGTGGCCAGTGGTCCACACGGAGACCCTCGAGAGTCCAGGGGAGGGAGGGCGCCGTGCCGGGGAAGGCCCCCCCGAGGAGGGGCTGTGCAAAGACCCGACTTGACCAGGAGCATGGAGGTGGGGGAGCGGAGAGCAGGGCGTCAGGGCGTTAAAAGGACAGCGGTCTGCCAGCTTTCCTGAGAACTGAGGTCAGAGAGCTGGCCAGGGCAGAATGCAGAGGGTCGTGAGCTCAGGGGCTGGGGGGCTGCAAGCCACTGTCCCTTCTCCCTGCTTGGCAGGTCCACCCAGGAGAGTCTGGGGGTGGAGGGCAGCCTCCTGCCCAGCTCTCCCCCACCCTTGGGCAGCCTGGCACCTGGGACGCCCTGGGGGTCCTTCGGAAGGCAGCCCTGCAGGCAGGCCTTTTGCATTGTGCACAGCTGAATGGAAAAAGGGGACAGAGGGCATACCCCAGGGGCCAGGGAGGGGCGTGGCGGGAAGTGCCCTCTGTACTCACGCAGTGGGGCCAGGCCTCAAAGACACTCCTGGAGTGGCCTCGAAGCGGGGAGAGTTCAAGGGCAGACTGGAGGGGTGGGGCCCACCTCGGGGCTGGCCTGTGTCTGGGAGCATCGCGGCTGCCTGTCCGCCCTCCCCAGGGTGGAGAAGGGACTCCGCGCCCGGAGCAGCTAATGTGCTGAGGCAGGTGCGGGGGAACCTACTCTCTGGAGCTCAAGTTCAAGATCGTCCTCTCCCTGGGCGGCCACAGGCCCTTGTCAGTGGTGCACTCCTGGCTGCGGCTGGCCCCTGGTGGCGGCCACAGTGGGTCCCACCAGCTCTGAACTTGATGGCAGTGCCTGTGGGTTAAGCTTGTCCCACTGAAGGGTGATGTGGGATGTCCAGTGGGGCCAGGACACCGCAGTCCCCTTCTGCCCCCAGCCCCAGCAGCCTGGCACTGCCACGCCCGCAGCCTTTGCTTTGCGGGTTCAGGCCTGTGGCACGGAGGGGGTCACTGTGTGTGCTGGTGCGGAGGGTCGTCGGCAGAGGAAGGCAACTGACCCTACGAGCCGGGGTCACGGACAGCCCAGGCGGACGCTGACTGAGTGCTTCTCCTGACCCCTCCCTGGCCCCCACCCCTGGAGCCACTGCTACGTGAACGGCGTGGGGAGGGTGTGAGTTTCTGTGTCTATGTGCCACCTCAATCCAGCCCTTTCCATGGCCAGGCCCTACCTCACACAGGCATGGAGATGTGTGTCCTCAGCCTCCCTGTGAGGCAGGACCCTTTATTTCCCAACTACAAATGGGGAGACTGAGGCACAGAGAGATTCAGTGAGCTGCCTACAGGCGCACAGCTAAGAAGTGGTGGATCCAGGGTTTGAACCCAGAGAGTGTGGCTTCAGCTGTTCAGCTCCCAACCGTTGGCCTTCTGGCTGTGGCAGGTCGCTGGCACCTTTTAAAGCGCTTCCTGTCCATTCTTTCGTTTCTCCTTAGACCAGCCTTAGGGGGAGAGGAAGGGCTGGTGTTCCCGTTTCACGGATGCTCAGAGGAGGAGTGACTTCTCTGATCGATGGCTGACAGGTCAGCGCCCCGTCCGCCCAGGCTGTGAGCGACGTGCCTGAGTCACACAGCCCGGAAGGACGGAGTCAGGCAGCACGGCTGGCCCGGGCGAGAAGGGTTAGAGAGCCAGGGGGTCCCATCTGAGGGGCTCATGGGAGGTCTGCCCATCCCTGGAGCCAGCAAGGACACGAGGAACGGGTCCGCTCATGTGCTGCGGGCGGTGCCCGCGGTTGGCGGCTCTGGCACACAGTAGGGCACTTTGTCCCCCAGTCAAAGGCCGATTTCCCATCTAACTCAGTATTCTTCCACTCCCGCTGTTCCCTTCAAGAAATGAAAGCTTACAGTCACACAAAAACCTGTACGCAGGTGTTTCCAGCAGCTCTGTTCATAGTCATCAAAATCCAGAAACGACCCAGATGTCCCCCCGTGAGTGGCGGGCTAACCTGGGCCGTCCCTCCGTGGAATGGGCTGTGCCACTAAGGGGAGTGGGCCGTCGATGGCGCACGACAGCTGGGGCGATCTCGAAGGTGTGGTGCTGAGTGAGAGAAGCCAGTCCTGAAAGTCATTCCCGTGTGATTCCACTCACTGAACGTTTGAAACAGCAGGCGTAAGCCTAGTGGCACGCGACAGGTCAGCGGTTGCCGTGAAGGGAGCGTGTGCCGGGGACCGCATGAGGTGGTTTGGGGCCATGCGCCTGCCCTGTGTCCTCATTTGGAGATGCTCTGTGTGCTAAAATTCATATAACCGTACAGCAAAAAAAGGTCCGTTTGGCTGTGTGTAGATTAAAGATGGAAGGCCGGGGGGAGGCAGAAGGGGAGGGGCGCCGGCCGGGCTGCCCCAGGGGCTTCCTGTGCGGAGGGGCGGGGGAGGGGGGGCCCCTGAGCTGTGTGGCTCTCGTGGGTGGGCAGCCTCGAGCCAGCCCACCTGGCAGCGGAAGGGCCAGAGGCTGATCATAGCTTCGCTCTGGATTCACAAGGAGGTCGTGGAAGTGGCTGAGATGCTGTGACGGTGCCCGGGGCCCAAGGAGCAGCGTGGTGACCCTGGCTTTCCCCGGGGGGGGAGTGCCAGATGCCTCCAGCCCACTGGCACTGGGCATTGGAACTGGCTTCCTGGTCACCGTTGGCCACCTCCCGTGTCCCCGGGCGGGCGTGGGAGGAGAAAGCTTTGCTGCCCCCATTTTACGGATGGGGATGGGGCTGGGGCATCGGCCCCGTGAAGACCCACATACCCGCTTTTGCTGCCATTTCCACACTCCAGCTGGCGGCAGCCCACCTGGTTTATGCAAGTCTGGAGCCAAGTTGACGTGAAGCCACAGGGCCGTCTCTGCTCTCATGTTGGTTTGCTGGCTGCTTTCTTCTGTTTGAAGATGCTGGGAGGCTGGAGGACCAGAGGGGACCTGGGGACATTCCAGCCTCTGGCAGCCCTGGCTGGGGCTCACGCCTGGGGTCACATGGCTAAGACCCAGTCCCAGGCCTGGTCAGGGAGGTCCACAAACCCAGCTCAGGTCCCCTCTGGGCCGTGTCTGTGAATGGGGGTGTCTTCCTGCCCTGCCAGAGGGTGGCCGCGGGTGGCAGTGGGATGCTGGAAGAGGGGAGGCCCCCAGCGCTGGCGGGCACGCACTGGGAGGGGTACTAGTGCTTCCCCCGTCTCTGTGGAGCCCCCCTGAGCTCGGTTTCCTCATCTGTGGAATGGGCGTAGAGTCCCCATCTGGCAGGGCGGCTGTGGGGGAGGAGCCCGGTGCCCCCGGTGGCTCCCACAGCCTTTCCCTCACTGTGGGCTCCGCTCCCCGTCCTCCACGCAGGTCTCTGCTGACCGAAGGCGAGGACCGGCCCGCTCCTCATCTCTGCGTCTCCGTCGCCCGGCCCAGTGCCTGCACACAGTAGGTCGCCAGACCAGACCCGAGGTGGGGTTGGGGGCTGTGGGGATTGGGGGCAGACACGGGGGGTGGTGGTGATGCCAATGGCAGGGAGGGGACGAGGCCTGGAACAGAACCCCTGCCAGCACTCCTGGCCCTCCTTCCCCTGGCTCAGCTGGGTCCCAGGGCCACCTCCTCCCCTTCTGTCGGCACCGGCAGGTTCAAAGGAGGTTGTCTGGGAGATACGAGGGAGGGAGGGTGTCCTGGGCAGCCGGGTTGGTCTGGGCTGCAGGGCAGTGGGGGGCTTGGACCCACACAGACTCAGGACCCCCCGCCCCAGGTGTCGTCAGGTCCTCCCCTCTTCTGAACCCTGCCTTCTTCTTTACTCCATCCCCGGGAACCTTTGGGTGGGGTCTCCATCTACCCGAATGCCTGGTGCTGGGCCCACACCCTCCTCCAGGGCCGTCTCTGAGCTCCTTCCAGCCTGCTCACCTGGGCTGTGCCATGTCCACTTGGGCCAGATGGGCTGGCAGAGCTGGACGGGCCTTGGGAGCATCTGCTCCAACCCATTTTACAGATGAGGAAGCTGAGGCCAGAGAGGGTAGGGATTGCCCCTGTGGTCACACAGCACATGCTTAGGGAGCCAGCCCTGGGTCTGGGCCCTCAGGCACCTGTGTCCCACTTGCTGGCTGCCCCCTGAGGCCTGGAAGCTGGGCAGGACCAGTGGCCTGAGGCCGGTGTCTCCCCTCTCAGCCCTCCCGCAGACACAGGTCTCCCAGACAAGATGGCGGCCAAGCAGCCTCCCCCTCTCATGAAGAAGCACAGCCAGACGGATCTCGTGAGCCGTCTGAAGACCCGCAAGATCCTCGGCGTGGGTGGGGAGGACGACGACGGGGAGGTCCACCGCTCCAAGGTGGGTGCAGAGGGCACCTGGAGCCAGCCACGCCTGCAGTCCGCCCTGAGCACCAGGGTGGCGAGAAGAGCAGCTGGGGCCCACGTAGCTGCAGGAAGCCCAGGACGTGGCACATTTTTCTGGAAACTTAACAGAGACGCCAGGGGACTAATAACAAAAATGAAAGCCGATCGTTAGAGTGGATGGAGGGCGTGTTATGTGTGCAGTGTCCCATGACTGCTTGATAAGCGTTACTGAACCTGCTTCTAGCCCTGGGAGATGTGGACAGAGTTATTAACCCATTTTACAGATGAGGAAACTGAGGCTCAGAGAGCTTCAGGCCTTGCCCGAGGCCACACCAGTAAGGCAGAGCCAGGCCTCAGGCAGACCCCTGAGCCGTCATTCTCAGCCGCTGTGCTTTCAGTTTCCCTTAAGCCCTGGTGTCAGGGAGGCAGACAGGGGGTGACCCTCTGGCTAGGCAGAGGTCCCGGGTGGGGCCCCGGGCATGCCAGGGGTCTCGGGAGGGGCTGGGCGTGCTGGGAGCTGCCGTCTCTGTTGCCTCTGACCCCCGTGTATCCTCAGATCAGCCAGGTCTTGGGCAATGAAATCAAGTTTACTGTTCGCGAGCCTTTGGGGCTGAGGTGAGCCTGTCGGGAGCCTGGGGGCTGGGGGTCATGGGAGGGGCTGCCTAGGACCCTGCCCACCGGCCTGTGTCCGCTTGACCTTGAGCTCATCCCCCCTCATTCTCTCCCCCGACACCGGCCATCCCTGGGCCCTCAGCTGGATGGGGAGGGACCCTGGGGCTTGGGGCGGCCGCGGGCCTGGCTCTGACCTGCGTCCCTGCGCCCCCAGGCTCTGGCAGTTCGTGTCTGCTGTGCTCTTCTCCGGCATTGCCATCATGGTGAGCCCGCCCCCCCGGCCCTGGCCCTGCGTCTGTCCCCCCTGCCCTGTCCCTGGGCCTCCCCGGGCCTCCTCCCACCCGCCGCCTGCCCGGAGCATCGCAGGTGCCATCGTCGGTGGTCCGGTCCCCGGCACCCCAGCCCTTCTGTCGCGGCATGAGGGGTGGGGCAGGCACGGTCCGGCCCGGCTTCTGGGGGAGGGACGGAGGACCAGGGGAGGTCTCAACAGTGACCCTCACCTGAAGCCCCCCCCCCCCCCCCCCCCCCAGGCCCTCGCCTTCCCCGACCAGCTCTATGATGCCGTCTTCGACGGGGCCCAGGTGACCAGCAAGACCCCCATCCGCCTCTACGGCGGCGCGCTCCTCAGTGAGTACTGCGCAGGCCTGGGGGGACGGGCAGCCGCGGGGGGCCGGGAGCCTCCCTCGTGCCGGGGCCCCTTCCCAGCCCCATCTGGCCGGCGAGCTGATCTCTGCCGGGTGTGTGCCGCCATCTTGTGGCCATGGGCGGAACGCACCCAGTGGACTGGGGCTCTGCCTTTGCTGTCTTTGGAGATAAGCATTTATGGAGCGCCTGCTGTGTACAGTGCACCACCTGGGCACTGGGATAGAGAGATGAATGAGACCCGGGCCCTGCCCTCCAGGGGCCTCACAGCCGAGAGGAGGAGGCAAAAGTCTTCCACCCTTGGGCCTCTCATTTGAACCCCTTCTGCGTCCTCTCCTCTGAGTCACACAGTGTTAGGAAGCCGATTACAGATTCTAAAACCTAGCACAGATGGTTTCCCTACCTCCCCTCCAAAACATTCTATGGCTCCCTATTACCTGCAGGGTAAAGTCTCAGCTCCACCTGGCAATCAAGGTCGTCTGTGGGGTGGATCCAGCCTGCCTTCCTAAATCCACCTCCCCCACATCCCACAGCGGGCCCTGCACCACAGCTGCACCGCGGGATGCCCAGTCCTGTTTCAGAAGGCCTCCGTGCCTTGGCACACGCAGTTTGCCCAGCCTTGTGCCCATGGCACTTCTGCTCAACCCTGGAAGGCCCACTGTAGTACCTCCGGGGCCGGGGGTGGGTGGTGAGGCTTGGGGCGGCTTGAAGCCCTTCACCCACGCGCGGAGGGCTGGAGTTACACGGTTACGGTTCGGTTTGTTGAAATAAAATGAGCACGAATCTGGAGCTCAGAGCCAGCAGACTCTGGGTAGGAGGTCGAGTCTAGGCTGGGGTTGGGACCGCTGAAAAATAGGGCCTAACGCCTCCCTGCGTGATTCCCGAATGGGCGGTTTCCCGTCTCTAGGAGTCCGTTTGGAAAGAAAAGGGGATGGAAGGACCAGGGGCCCACCCACTCGGTGGTCTCCCTCACTGCAGAATCCTGACCCATCTGATAGGGGCTCAGTCCTCCTCTTTTACAAATGAAAAGACAGCCCCAGGCAGGGGCCGTGACTTGCCCAGTGTCCCGTGGCGCCTTGGAAATTAAATGAACTGCGAGGAGCTTATTGCTGAGGCTGCCAAGTCAGATCTGGCAGGAATGGGACCGGGGACGGATGGATGGCCGAGTTTTCGACTGAGGAATGTGAGTGGGCGCAGGAGACGTGGAAGTCGCGATCCTGGCTCCCTCGCCTTATAAGGCTACAGGGAGGAAGACCAGGCCCCTGGCCCTGCCGGAGGCGGTGGGGGGCAGGCGGCCCCGCCCCCAGTCCACGCTCTGTCCCCCGCCCCAGGCATCTCCCTGATCATGTGGAACGCGCTCTACACGGCGGAGAAGGTCATCATCCGGTGGACTCTGCTCACCGAAGCCTGCTACTTCGCGGTGCAGTTCTTGGGTGAGTCCTGAGGTCGCGGTGAGGGAGGGAGGCTGGGGGGCGGGCGCGTCAGGGCTGCTGGGCCCCCATCTGCCACGTCTTCCCACCTGGGTTTCCAGGAAGTGAGGAGCGCCGTCTGAGGGGGAGGGCCTCGTGTGGCTGGGTTCACCTGTGTGCCTGCACACCTGTGCTCCACATCTGGTGGGTACCTGTACCCTCCTGCCTACACACACGTGCATCGGCACAGCCTTGCACACGCGGTGCACTTGCAGCCTCCCGAACGTGCACATGCGCACATGTGTTCCAGCGCAGGCGTGACGGCACGCCCCTGTTTTGCTCATGTGCTTGCCCCGGACCCTGCCTCGTGGGGGCCATCAGACATGTGTGGGGTCTGGTGAGGGGGCAGGTCCTGCCCGTCCCAGCCTGCAGGATCCCGGCTCAGGGCGGGGTCAGCATGGCATCGCGTGGTTGGGGGGAGCCCTCTGACCTCTGTCCCCTCCCGGCCTTTCTCCCGCAGTGGTCACTGCCACGCTGGCCGAGACGGGTCTTGTGTCCGTGGGGATCTTGCTGCTCCTGGCCAGCCGCCTCCTCTTCGTTGCCATCAGCATTTACTACTATTACCAAGTCGGCCGAAAACCCAAGAAAGTCTAGCCACCGGCCAGCTGGGGCCCTGCTGGGCAGGGAGGCCCTGGCGCCTTCGTCTCCCTTCGGTTCCTGGCCGGCAGGAAGGACCCTGGGCTGCCCAGCCCTGCCCCCGGCAGGCGGGGGGGCCGCCCTCCTCTCTGGATGCTGGGATCTTCTGGGCTTGTAGGTTTTGGGGGGATGGGGCCTCTGCACCCCGTCCTTCACCACACAGTGACGCCCCCTTTTCCTGAGTCTCTTGGCCCCCTGGACAGACACCGACTGAAGAGTTTGAGCCACGGGGCATTGGGCTAGGGCGAGGCTCCCCGCCTCGGCCAGGAGGCCCTCCTTTCTTGGCAGGGAGGCTGTGGCCTGCCTCCCTGTCCTGCCCCCACAGTTCCCCCCCACCGAGTCTAGTGCCGGAGCTAGAAGCCCGGAACTGGGCTTCTGTCTGTGCTGGAAAAGCCAGGAACTTGACCCTGTCCCCCTGCACCTCACATGTGGGGGCCCCGCCACCTGCTGAGCACACACCCCGGCCCCTCCCACAGCCCAGCTGGGGCTGGCGGGTGGCGGGGCTGCCTCTGACTGCGCACTCCCCTTACAGCCTTTCTGCGAGCTGGGCCACATGCAGCCAGAGCCCTGTCCCCAGGCAGCCTGGCTACCACGGGCCTCCTGGGGCTTTGCTCTAGGCTCCCCTGGAGGCCCCTAGGTGCCCCCACCCCACAACGGCCTGGGTCTGGAGGCTGCCCGGGCTTCACCCACAGGCTGGCCCTGAGAGAGGGACACACAGATAACCCCAGATGGAGGCCACCTGAAAGGGATGGGGTTTGGGGTGAGGAAGAAAGAAAAGCAGTGGCATCTCCTTGTCTCTTGGTGTGTCCTCTGGGTCTGATGTCCGCCTGGCTCAGCCCCTCCCCACCCATGCCCCCTCCCCAGGCTACTGCCCCCTGGACCTCCGGCCTGGGCTGCCCCCCAGGCCTGGCGGACTAGGATTGAGTGCTCTTCAAACTCTGCGGGGAAAATACACGGAAACATTTCAGTAGGTCCCCCCCCACGGCCCCAGTGCTCTGGACAAGGTGGCCGGCCCGCAGAGCTGAAGCCCATGCCTGTCTACAGCACCGTGTGCTCCCCATTAGTCCCCGCCCCCAGCGCTCTCCTTCCCTCTGGGACAAGAATGTGCCCACCAGGGATGGCAGCCCCCGGGTTCTGGGGACAGGGGTGGAGAGCCGCAGCCCAGGCCCGGACTCACTGCCCCTCTTGGGATAGAGTGTGTGTAGGGGGCAATGGATGGTCCTTAGGGGGTGATGGACGGTCCCCAGGGGTGATGGACGGTCCTTAGGGGTGGTGGACAGCCCTGCCCTTAGGGGGCGATGGACACTCCCCAGGGGCAATGGACGGTCTTAGGGGGAGATGGACGGTCCTCAGGGGTGATGGATGGTCCTTAGGGGCGGCCCCGGTCTGGCTGCTGCCAGGTGGGCATCTGCCTGGGGACCTTCCTTGGCCCACACGGGGCCCCACACTGCCCTCCCCTGTGCCCAGCAGAGCGGTGGCACCACTGCAGCGCCACACCTGAGGGGAGGCCCCGCGGGAGGGAGCCTGGTCACAGACACAGGGCCGCTCTTCCCTGGCTTCCGTCTCTTGCCTCTGAAGTTTGTGTGTCTCCCCAGAACCCTGCCCCCCGCTGAGCCCTGGGCGGCCGGGATCCCATGGTCGCCTTTGGGAGGTGGTGTTGGTGGCCACTGGGCAGTGGCTGCGGGCCAAGGCCACGTCTTCCGTCTGACCGTGCCTTTTAAGGCCTGGCTAGTCCACAGTGGGTGATGGACGGTTTGTCCTCATGACCCCTGGGCGCGGGATAGATTCCCCTGGGAGGCAGGCAGGGGAGCGGGGGCACAGGCTTGGGATTCGGGCTCTGGGTTGGCATCTCTGAGGCTGAGCCGGCCAAGCTCCCTCCCTCAGCTGGGGGCAGGGGGGCGGGGTGGCAGTAAGGACCCGCTGGCATGGGAATGTCCGGGCTGTGGCACAGCAGTGCTGTGAATCCCATGCTGCTTGCTTAGACATGGGAGGGAGGGGGCCTGGCACACAGACACACGGCCCTGGGGTGGGGGTGGGGGCACATTAAGGCCAAGAGTCGTGGTTGGGGTGGGGGCAGTTACAAGGGGACAAGGACAAAGAACCCACCAATCTAGTGAGGAGGCCTGTGTGGGCCCAGCTCCCCATCCAAAAGGTTTGGGGGGATCCAGAAAACTTGCCACAGGGACCCAGGGCCGTCTTGCCAAGCTCCTGCCCCCCCAGCCCCTCCCCTCAAATCAAGACCACCTTTCTTCACGGTCACTATTTATTCTTCGTTCCTTTGTCTTTTTGTAAGAAACAGTCACAAAAACCAGTGCAAACCCATTGGTGTGGGCGTCCTGTTTTATATTACAAAAACTCCTTTCGATATATAATATAAAAAGGGGCTCACAGGAACACGGGATAAGTTAGCTCTGGCATCCACCGCGGGGAACGGGGACAGGGTTCAAAACAGACTTTCCAGACGGGACCCATGAGGAGGGGGGGTGTGTGGGGGCCTCGGCTGGTTTGGGGGACCCTGTCTGAGCCCCTTAGGTGTAGACAGGAGAGGGGCCTGGGGGGCCGAGGAGGGGCCCCCGCCCCTAAGATGTACTCCCTTCTCTAAGGGGCACAGCTCCGGAGCAGGGTGGGGTGCGTGACCACGCAGGGCCTTCCCTGTCAGTGGGGTTGGAAGTCTTGGCAGAGAGGCATTGCACCCCTGCCCCCCAACCCCCCCCCCAACTGCCACCAGCACCTATTATGGGCTATATCTGGACCGGCCAAGCCAGATACGTGAGCCCGAGAGGCTTGTCTGATGGGGGCTGAGCTTTCTCCTTCCAGCCCCTAGGAAAGGGCTCCGGCAGCCAGCCCTGCAGACAGTTACCCGCCTGGACTGATGCTACAGGGAGCAGTGTCTGCCTGCTGTCCCTCCCCGGCCCCAGACCTGGTGGGAGGCTGGGGAGGTCCGTGGGACAGGCCCAGGGCTCGCTGGCACCTTTCTGGAAGGCCTTGGGGAGGGCAGTCTCACCTCCACCTGTGAACCACCTCAGCCCGGGGCTCCTCCATGGCCTGCGTCCCTCCCTCTTAGGGGGCCCGGGGGTGGGTGGGGTGGGAGAGACGGGGGAAGTGTGTGCTTCCAGATGCCAGGCTTTTCTTATGCTGAAGGCCCCAGGTCCTCCTGGGCGGTGGGCGACCAGATGGGCCTGGATACCGGGGACGCCTTGGCCTGGAGCCACACAGCTGCCCGACTTGACCCTGACCCCGCCCAGCTTGTTTTGTTCATTTTTTGGTCAACCTCAGACCAGCCATGGGCCTTGGCCAGGAAGCTGGAGCTAAGCGTGTGGGCGGGTCCAGACAGCAGGCCCTTCTCAGCCTGGGCGGGGGAACGGGCTGCAGGGCCCCCTGGGTCCCAGGGATGGCCAGTCGCTAGGGAGCTCATGGTGTCACAGAGTTGCCGGGACAGGCTGTTCCGGGGACCATCTGGAAAGATCCAGCTCAGAGACCTGGGAGCAGGGCCAGGGCCAGGACTGGTGGGGACAGCAGGGGTGCGGTGGGAGAGATGGGAAGAGGGCCACGGAGCTCTGGCTGCATCTCGGGGGGGGGGGCAGGGGGCTCCAGGCCCAGCTCTGTCTCCCAGTGGCTGGGAAGCAGAAGGGGAGGCTGGACGCTGGCCTGGGGCCTGAGACAGAAAGGGCTCTTCTTCCCAGACCCTGAAGAGGGACAGAGAAGGGGAGAGGGGAGCGGCACCAGGCTGCGCCCCCACTCCCACGTCTGTGGCAGACATTACTAGTCGGGATCACACTGTCCTCTCCCACTGAGGCCAGACTGTCCTTGGTGCAGCCTCCGGCGGCCACTCCTGACCGATGGGGGTCAAGGCATCCTGCCACCTGCTGCCAACACCGGGCTAGAATTGAGGCCAGCGCATGGGGGCTGAACTGTGGGTGCTGCGCGGGTGTGAATGCGTCTGTGGGGAGACCTGTCCCCGCCCGCGCCTGGAGGGAGCTCTCAGCAACGCGCCGTGGACGGGGAAGGGACAGGAGACCACGTCACGGCAGAAATGGCCATGACGTCCTGGAGTTCTTCAGCTTGGAGACAAGGGACCTTGGGGGTGGGGGGGAGACAATGGGTGGTTTGAACACTTCAGGAAGGAGAGCGAGCACGCGGGAGGCCACGGACAGAGCCACAGCAAAACCAACCTCTCTGTGTATTGAGGTGAAGCTAAAGTCAGAGCAGTCCAAAGGCAAAAGGCTGTCTTGGGAGGTAGTGAGCTCCCCGTCCCTGGAGGTGTGTAAGAAGAGGGTAGAGAAGTCTGGCAGGGATCTTGTGGAAGACATCCAAACCTCAAGGAGAGCCAGATGATCCTGGGGGCTCCTTCCAGCCCAGGAGCCAGGGAGCTGGTGGGGAACAGGAAGGGGATGGGCTGGGGGGGCGCGGTGGGCAGTGTGGCAAAGGGACTGTGGTGTGTGTCCGTGTGTGTGTTCCTGGGGGCTGAGAGGTGTGGGGAGGCGGGAGGGAGGGCAGGGGGGAAAAAAGTCCAGAATTTTCTTAGCTGTAGAGCTGGGAAGAGACGGCTCCTGGCCAGCCTGCCCTCTCTCTTCTGGGGAAACCAGGATGTGGAGGCCAGGGAGGGGGCGCGAGCAGCGGATCGGCGGGGACCGACAGAGCCCTGGAAGGCGTGACAGGCAGCCCGGCGATGACCAGGTCCTTGTTGAGAGTCATCATGCATGTGCTGCGTGACTGTGGATGAGAAACTGCCCCTCTCTGGGCCTTCCCGATTATTTGGCCCAACAGATGGGGAAGGCAAGGACCTCGCCAGCCGGGCCATCCTTGCATCCAGTGTCTGAAGCCCACTCTTGGCCCCAGCCCGAGGCAGGGACAGCACCATCCTCGGAGGACCAAAGACTGCACGTAGGTTCCGATCCTCAGGGACGTGGAGCCCGAATCTCCTTGCAGCCCCTGGGCTGTGGCGCCCTCTCTCCGAGGCTTCTGGTTGCCTAGATCATCACTTCCTCGGCACCAGGTCCTGAAGCTACGAGGAGGGGGCCCAGGCCCGGTCGCCGTCGGGCTGAGCGGAGGAGGGTCCTGGGCCGGGGCTCCTTTGCTCCCTAGGCCAGACTGCGCCCCGGGCTCAGGCGCCGGGCCCTGCGGGGAGCCCCTGGCAGCGCCCGGGCCGGCGGGGACATCAGGCCGTATTTTTGTCTTCATTTTGTATTGTTAAAAAAATAGCGATTTCCCTCCCCCTTCTCCTGCGCCCCCCGCCCCGTGGTCCCCCGTCCACCGGCCTGGAGGGCGGGGGTGGGGGCGGGCTCCCGGCTGGGCCGCTACTGGATGCCCCGGAAGAGGCACATGGCGAAGATCATGGCGAGAAGCTGCGGAGAGAGGAGGGGCTGGTCAGGTGGCCGCAGACCCACAGGGCCGCCCACCCCGGGGACAGGAGGGGCCGCCCATCACTCTCAGCATCTCCCACTGAGGGGATTCCTGACGCTGTCCCGCCGCGAGCCCCTCTCGCCAGCCCCTGGTCCCCTTGACGCAGTGTAGTCATGGCAAGAAGGGGGTTGGGACATGGGTTCAAATCCAGAGCTGCTGCTACTGCGGGCGGCACCACCGGCCGGACACTTCCCTTCTCTGGTGAGGAGGTATGGAGAGCTCGCCACCGTGTGCAGGGCACAGTTCTAAGTGCTTACCCACACACCTCTTCACAGACAGTGAGGGAGACACAGAGAGGTCAGGTAACCTGCCTAAGGTCACACAGCTTGGAGCGGGGGAGCAGGGTTTGAGTCCAGGCGTTCTGACCCAGAGTCCAGGCTCAGAACCTGCGCTTGCCTCTGCTAGCTCACAGGGAGGGGTGGGCTTGAAGGAGAAGGGGCCGCCTATGCTGTAACGAGGCCTCTTTTATAGGACGTGGTCAGTACGAAGTTTCCAGGATAACGGGCAAGGTGGACGCAGCCCTCCCCGGAGTCAGGAGCACAAGCTCTCAACGCCTGCTGAGCAGCCCTGACTCAGGGGGGACCCCCCGCCAGACTGGCTGATGCCCCTGTGGCCACAGCTCTTCTTGCAAGTGGCACAAGGAACTGACCCCAGGCCACAGGCTCCCGGCCAAACCTCCAGGGGGACAGTGGGGTGGGGAGGCCGGGCTGGGACAGGGATACGGCAAAGGCCCCGTCTCGGAGGGGGCGGCGCCTCCGTGGGGGCCGCGGCTGGGCGCGGGGCCGGGGGGGCGGGCACACATGCTGCCTCAGGAGCCCCGCGCCAGGCGCGTGGTCCCCACCCTGGAAGCCCCGATTACGGCGCTGTCAGCACCACCGTGCCCGTCAGGAAGCGGCCGCTCACCGCCCTGGGCCTGGGGACAGGCAGAGCCGGGAGCTGGAAGGACCGGGCGGCCTGCGGTCACCCCCAGGCCGGGCCGCGCGCCCCTCCCCTCCCGAGCGGCCCCTTCCCCAGCCCTGGGCTGCGGCCTGAGCCCGGGAGGGGCGGCTCCGCCGGCGGCGGCAGCGCCACCTGGTGGTGGCCGCGACAGTCTGCAGCTGCCCTCCCTTTGGGGGGATCTGGGGCCCTGGGGTGGGGGGGTGGCCAAGACCACCCTTGTGAGGTTGACAAGGGCCCACAGGCCTGAACACCCCCCAGAGAAAGGCCAGGCTGCAGCCCCTGCCTCAGGTCAGCCATGCTGGTCCACTCTGGACCCTGGGCCGGGCTGGGGGTAGGGGGTGGGGGGTGGGAGAGGAGGGGCGATGGCCATCCCTCAGGGCCCGGCCACCCCCGGCGCCCAAAGTCTTGCTCGGATGTGCTCCCAGTGCCATGATGATGCTCAGGCAGCAGCCGGACATGGCCGCACTGACCACCCCGTAGCCCCCACAGTGGGGGGCCATCTGGTCCTGGGTTAAGGCCCGGAGATGGAGGCAGGCTGGGGGTGCAGGCCCGGGGGCCTTCCTTACCTCGATGGCCAGCACGCCTATGGCGAGGGCTCCGGCCAGGTAGACGTAGGTTTCGAAGGCGTTGAGGATCACCGTGTAACAGCCCTGGGGGAAGAACGGGAGGTGAAGCCACAGCCTGGGGTCGGAGGCCAGCGTCAGGACCGGGCTGAAGCCTGGGAACTGGCATGCGGCTCCAAGCTCAGGCGCCAGCAGGCCCGCCCTGTCAGACCCCCGCCCAGACAGTGGGGTGCGGAGGAGGGGCGGCAGGAGGCAGCATCACTCCCAGGACCCTCTGGGCCTCCAGCCCTCAGGCGGGGCTGCAAACCGCCAGCCTGAGCACATCAGCCACAGACCCTTTCTGCATGGCTGCCCCTGTGGCTGGAATATTGGGGAATTTCCGTAAATATCTGGACTTCTTGTTGCTCTCAAGAAACCAGAAGATCCAGCAAGGGGAGCCATCGTTTCTACCTGGCAGGACCTGTCAGACAGGATCAGAGCCCCCTGGGGGTCCACAGCCCCCTCCCTCCCTGTCGTCCCACACCACCCTCTCTACTCACTCTCAGTCCCTGGCTGATGGCTGAAGGGTGTCTGGTTTTCAGCCTCTGCCCTAAGGAAACAGCCCATCCTTCTAAGCCCAGTGCACACCTCACCTCCTCCGGGCAGCCCTCCAGGACCAGCGCAGCCTGCAGGCCCCCCTAAGTGAATTGGATTCCCGTGCTGTTCCCGCTTTCCCAACAGTTCTGGGGACACCCAAACTGAGACAGAGGTGGCAATAGAGCGGGGGAGAGAAGGAGAGCAAAGCTAGGAGCTTCAGGCCCATGACTGCAGAAGACGGGGGCCAGGTGGATGTCCCGGTACCGCCTGGTGGAGACTGACCAGGGGCTGGGCGGGAAAGGCCCCCAGAGGCCCTCCCTCGAGCCCCCTAGAACAAGCAGGATACACCCAGATAAACAGACCCTATGAGCACGATGGCCCGGATCCAGTGTCGTCGGGGCTGACCGCGTGTCAGCATCTTCCGGGAGGCGACTGACATGCAGATGCCGGCCTCACCCCGAGACTGGATCAAGGGTGTGGTGCGGAGCCGGGAGCGAGCATCTATGGCTGTGCTGTGGCCAGGCCGTGAGACACCCCAGGCCCGGCGAGGCCGACAGAGAAAGAAGGCTCAGCCGGACACGGGGAGCCCAGCGAGGGCTGTGTGACGGGGGCACAGCCCGAGCGCACCCTACATGGGCCAGCTGGTCAGGAACCAGTGTGGCCGGAGGTCCCCTCGGGGCTGGCAGGGAAGGCCCACCCGCCCAGCCAGGCCCAGGGGCCACTGTGGATCCACCCGCAGACCCGCTCTGTTCAGCTCTTTAAAACATCAGAACCCTGAGAAGTGGAACGATGACAAAGTCTGACCTGCTCTGGAGGGAAGGCAAGGGAGGCTGGGAGGATGCTTCTGGCCTCCCCTCGTCCCCTCTGGGCACCACCCACCCCCCGGGGCCAGGCATGAGCACCCAATGCCCCAGCCTCCCCCTCTGCCTCGGGTGTGCAGTGCACTGTGCGGGCTGTCCAGACACGCGTGGCCCCGGGGCCTGGCCGCCTGGGCTCGCGGTCCAGCCCCGCCACCTGCTTCCTGGCGACCTCGAGCCATTCACTTATGTTTTCTAGGCTTCAGTTGCCCCATTTGTCAACTCAGGCTGTGTAGACTAACTATTTCACAGGACTCGTGTGAGGACATAGTGAGATGCGGGGGATAAAGCAGTGTGGGCAGCGCTGGCCTGGGCCGCACCCTCCATCCCCGTTGGCACCGTCCTCTCTCTCCCTCCGCGCCCTGGAAGAGCATCCTGGGTGGTGGGAAGTGTCTGAGCGCAGAGCTGGGGCGTGGGATTACCCCCAGGTCCCTGGTGTCACTGCAAGACAGTCCTTCCCCTCCATACACACACACACCCCTACACCAAAGGGGACAGGAGCCTGAAGCCCCCCAGGGACCTTGTCCAGCAGAGGGGAGACATCCAGGCCCCTCGCTGGCCGCGGGTGGGCATCTGGGGTCTTAGCCGCTCATCTGCCCTCTGTCGACCTCTGGCACCAAAGCCCCTTGGGGTCCCTGGACTGAAGCAAGCAGACCGGGCTGGCCACTGCGAGACCTCGAAGGGAGCAGGGCGGGCGGGGACATGGACTGGACGATGCCATCTGCGCTGGGTGAGCGTCCGCTCTGGCGGGCACGCTGCTGGGGGCGTGGGTGTGTGCTCATTGCGTCCCCCCTTGGGGAGGAGGGCACCCCTTGAATTTAATACGAGGAGAGGAGGGGAGGGCAGCCGGACAGCTTGCTCGAGGTGACACCTAGGAGGAGGGAGGCAGAGGTACCCGGGGTCCCGCTGCCCCCCGTTCTGAGGGGAAGGAGCGGCATCGGGAAGGCTGGTTCCTGCTCGTCTGGGCCGGTCCCCGGCTCAGGGCCCCGAGCTCCGTCCGCACCCCGTCCTCCCCTCGCGATGCAGCACCCTGACCCCCGACCCTGTCCAGTGCCAGCGCCGCCCTCCCTCGGCAGGTGAGACACCCCCACCTGCCCCCGATCTGTAGCTGACAGGACTCAGGGCAGCTAGACTAGAGGTGCCACCAAGACACCGCCCACATTACACATCCAGTATGGACCTGCCCCCGAGATCCACGCCATTTGCCCAGCTGCCCAGGGGGCGTCCCAGAGGCACACTCAACGGGCCCCCACAGATTCGAGATCTCCCTCCAAACCAGAACCCCTAAAGTCACCCCACCCTCCTCATCTCCCTTCCCCAAAGCCGACCCGCCACCGGGGCTGGCACATTTTGCCTCCTGAATAGTTTCTCTGCGTCTCCACTGGCACCACCCTGGTCTAACCCATCGCCACTGCTCACGGGGGGGCCAGTTGAAAAGCCCCCCCGGCCACTCAGGCCCACCTCTAATCACTGGCCACTGAGCAGCCAGTGTGCTAACATGGCCACATCCCTGCACCACCCATGGGTTTCCATTGCCCTTCCAGCATCCTCGCCATGGGCCCGCTGGCCCCGGGTGGTCTGCGCTGCTGATGCCCTCCCGTTGAGCTGGTCTGGCCCTATTCACTGTGCTCCAGCCCTGCTGGCCTTCTCTTGGTTCCTGGAACACACCGTGCTCCCTCCCACCCCAGGGCCTTTGCACAGGCTGCTCCCGCTCTCTGGTCGGAATGCTTTTCCCTCACCAGGAGGATGAGGGTATAGCACTTTGTTTCAAGGAAAGTCACAGCAGCACCCACACTCAGAACCCACCAGGAAGCAGGTGGGGAGCACTGGGCCTGAGCAGAGACACTGAGCGATGCTGTGGGGAGAAAAGACCTAAGATCACCCGGACAAAAGGGGAAATGGATGGTTTCCTATTTGTGGTCACCATACCGGGCTGGGGTCCAGGTCTAGCAAGGTCACCATCTACTGGGAGGCCCCCCGATTTGTTTCCAGCAGGATAACGCATTCTTGACTGGCCTGGGTGGCCGTCTTGCCCAGGGAAGGCTGAGGAAGGAGCTGGAGAAGCTGCTATGGGGGGCTCGACTCCATGGAGGAGCCGGGGCATTCATCGTGGGTCCCCCACTTTCAGGATTTCCTCATTTCTCTTCATTGGAGCTCAGAGGTAAACAGGGCTGGGGGAGTAACTCAACACGCACAGACAAGTGCCCCCTGCCTTGGCTCCTGGTGGCCATGTGACTGAGTCCTAGCCAGAGGATGATTCCAGAACCGGGAAGCAGGTCAGGCTGAAGCTCTAAAGGGACAGGCTGGAAAGCCCCGGGGACAATTCGCAGGCGGCCTCAGGGCACGGTTCGCTCCACGAAGCCATCAGTGGTCCAGCTTCCTCCTCTCGTGACGCTGACATCCCGGGGGCCGTCCTCCTCTGCAGGGCCCGAGATGGCGGTCCCCACAGCTGCCTCCCAGCCAGGGGAAAAGAGGAGGGGCCGGCCCAGCCACATCCCTTAAGACGCCACTTGGCTGCACAAGTCACTTCTGCTCACCTCGCTGAGGCTTCACCGCCAGGGAGGCGAGAAGGGCAGCCTTTGGCTGGTGGTCATGGGGTCTTATAAACCCCTTTATCCGAGGAGGCCAGCGAGCAGTGTGCACCACGGCACAGGAATCTGAGGTCCAGAGAGGGCGCCTGACCAAGGGGACACAGTGGCTGACAGCCCGGGCCTGACGTCACAGCCGGGAACTCGCCCCAGGTGCCCCCACCCGCAGCGCGGATGCCAGGCCCTCGATCCTTTATTGACGTCCCCTCCCAGTGCCGGGGGCAGGATCATGAGGCAGGGGATGTGGCCCTCGGACCTCGAGAATCCTTCCACACGGCAGCTGCAGGGGTGGGGCGCAGGGTCCCTGGGGCAAAGCTGGGGCTGGAAGGAGCTCATCAGACGCCGGGGTCAGGCCCCAGCCCACTGTCCCCTGCCCGGGCTCCCAGGCTGCCTGGGGCGCCCCACGCCTCCTCGCCCCGGCCCATCCTCTGCTCTCATTTTCTCCATGGTGGTCACTTTCTCGTGAACTGACGGCTTCTTGTTCGTCTGCTTCCTCTGACCAGACGGGGAGCCCCAGGAACAGGGGCCCTGTCTGCTGTCCCCTGCGGGGTCCCCTCTTCCGGAACTTTCCCACGAGATCCTCATGGCAGGCCAGGCCCAGTGAGGGGCGTGGGGTATGGACTGAGTTTCCCGGTCTCACATACACGCTGGAGGGGGGGAGACCAAGTACAAAGCGGGGCAGAGCGGGGCCCTGCGTCCCTCAGGGTGGCACGCGCATGATGGAAAGACACTGAGATGAGGTCCTCGGGTTGTAAGAGATGCAGAGAAGTCCAGCAGCTTCCGTGACCTGGAGGGTCAGGCCAGGGAAACCTTGCTCCCTCCGGGTCAGGGGGTGCCGCCACCTGGCAGATGTGACCTTCCTCAAATTGAGTGCACGGCCGACGTGGGTCCCCCTGTGTAACTGCCATTCTGGCTCCCGACCTGCATTACTGGAAGCTCAGGGAGTGTTCCGCCTAGAACCCTGGAAAACTCCTACTCACCCTTTAGCCCCAGCCAAAATGCCCACTGCTCTGGCCTGGGCCATCGCTGGACCGTCTGTCACCCTCATCCTCTCCCCCTCCGTCAGCCCCATCAGGGATCCACATCACAGCCGACATGCCCGTGGGACTCCAGAGTGCCCTCCGACCCTCTGGGCCCACGTGGCTGCCCGCCCAGCTCTGAACACCACGTCCCCTGCCGGGGGTGGGGGACAAGGCCACTACCTGCTTGTTCAGGAACAGGTCCCTCCCCAGGAGGCACTCCTCCCTGCTCAGCAGGACGCCGCCCCGCGTCTGCGGTTCCCTCCGGCAGCAGGCCTCCGGCACCTCGGCGCTCTCCAGGGTCAGGAGCCGGAAAACGGACGCGAACTTAAAGTCTTCAGGCCCGTTGACCCCGCAGCAGCCGAACTGGGAGGAGAGAAAGGGAAGGGTCTGGTGGGCGGGAGCTGGACGCAGGGGCAGAGGACGGACAGACGGCCTCGCCAAGGCCGCTGGGAGGCAGCGTGGGGGGCGGGGGCAGGACCCAGGTGTGCGCTGTGTGACCCTGGCAAAGTCACTGGGCTTCTCTGAGCCCCGGTGGCCTCTGTAAAGTGGTAACAATTCCCTCCTCACGGGGCACTGAGCACTCAGCGAATGGCAGCGGTGATTGTCGGTGAGAGTTACAGGTGCTCGAGGACCCGAGTCCGGGAGAGCGGAGGTTTCACCCCGAGCTTGGACTGTGGTGGCGGGCAGAGGCTGCCCACTCCAGCCGGCTCAGGGCTCGGCGGCCCGGGCCCGGACTGATGCCTGGGTTCGGGCAAAGGCACGAGCAGAGCGGGCCGCGGGACCAGTGTGCGCTCTGGGGGGGGCGCGCTCTGCAGGCCCCCAGCGTCCCCGGGCCACTCACTGTGATCATGACGGAGTTCCAGGTGGCAGAGAAGATGTCCGTGTCGTTGTCGCCCTGGTAGTGCTTGCCAAGCTCCTTGGTGAAGAACTCGCGGGTGAGCTGAGGGGGGGTGGGTGCTGAGCACACGGCCCCCGGCGCCCCAGCCTCCCCTCTGTCTGCCTCGGGGAGTGGGGGGCCTCGGGGCCCTGGGACCTGGGACTCTCCTGCCCCCAACTCGGGGCAGGCCCCCAACCCCCACCCCAAGGCCTGTGCCCCGCCATGGATCACCGACGTGAAAAGAGAGTCTACACCCCCCCACCCCATCCCGTAAACCTGAGCCGGGGCCCGAGCTCTCCTCGAGGGGAGTGCGGCTTATCTTGGGGGGGCTGGCCCCGCTCCCACCCCTGCTACCCCCAGCAGCTCCTGGGACCAGCCAGCAGAGGCCCTGGGTCCTGGCCCCGGCAGAAGCCCTGGGCGGGGCAGGGGGTCTGCACATCCTTGGGGGCCACTCCGCCCTCAGAACCCTCTCCTTCCGGGGGTCCAGTCCCCTCCTTCCTGCACCTTGCTGGTGGCAGGGGACCCAGGCGCACGGGGCGGGTACGTACATTTTCCCTGAAGACGAAGGCCAAGATGGCCGCCGAGAGCTCCGCCAAGAAGATGATCAGAATGAACAGGAAAAACTGTGAAGAGAAGGGGCAGCTTGTGAGCCCGAGGGGGGCGGGAGGGGACAGGGCGGCTGCTCAGTGATCCACGCTTCCATCTGTCACCCGACCGACACAGTGTGCTGATTCCGTGAGACTAAGAAACTTTGCTGCCGTGAGCCAGACATTTTTCGTAATAAACGTCCCACCAATCCATCTTTGGAGTCAACATGGTTGTAACCCAAATATGGAAAAAATGAACAAACAAATACGCCTTCCGTGCCAGTGGCATCCCTTAGACGAGGCCCCTTGTGCAGTGCACCATCTGAACAACCTGACCTGGCAGCCCTGGAGGGAGATGGATCTTGAAACTGGTTTGGGTCCCTCCAGGTGGATTGTACGTGCTGTGGGAACCCTGAGATCCTTGGGGATCCCTGGCCGGCTTTCCCCACCCCGCCAGCCCCAGGGCCACCTCTCCTAGCCCTGCTGCCTCTCGTTCCCGTGGGAAGTGGGGAGGTGATGCTCATCATCGGAAGGTGGTGTGTCCTTCAAAATCTGAAAACCCAGGGGCCGGGCGCTGTTAACTGACAGAGCCCGCTCTGCGCACTCACTCGTTTCTTGATGTTCCCATTTCTGATGCTCCTCGCACGCTGGGCTCCATCTGCCAGCCAGCTCCCGCCCTCCCTCGCCCGCCAGCTCCTCACTTTCCAGATCAGCTTGGCCCCAGCCCCTCTCCTGGGTCCCCCGCATCATAGTCCCAGCTGAGGGGCCCAGCCGGCCGCTGCTGCACCCCCACGGGGACCCCGACATGGGCACAGAGGCTGTCACTCGGCCGGCTGCTTTCCCAGTGCCCGGAGCACAGGGGTGGGGCACGGCTCTCAGAGAAGGAACGAATCCGCGAGTGACTGACTCGCCTTCAGGGCCCTGCTCTCTGCTACCTCTCGGGCCCTGGCCGCTCTCAGGCACTGTTTTGGGCTACAGCTGTTGGCAGAAGAAACAAACTGGCTTTCCTTCGTGCTCAGCATCGCTGGTGCCCCGGGCATTTACAGGCGGTGACAACGCTGGAGCTGTCACCCCCTCCAGAGACACCGGCAAAGGGCTGCCTCCCCAGGGCTCACGGAGGCTGGTTCTTACACACCCTCCCAGCACCTCGGCCGCTGCCCGGACGCCCCGCCTGTGGGTCACTGTCCTCGTGGCTGCCAGCCCGCCCTGGGTGCGCCCGGGCCGGGGGGAAGCCGGGGGGGCCCGGGTTCAGTGTCAGACCCCACAGCCCACCTTTCTCACTCTGTGTGACAGGGACAATCACTCAAAGACCCGGCAGCCTGTTTCCTCATCAGGAGAAGGGGGCGATGACACCCACGCCCGGGGGCTTGTGGGTCGTCATGAGATGCTGGGTGGGACGTGTCCTCCACGTCTCAAAGAGGCTGAGCGAGATCGTCGCGGAGCCTCTGCCGAGCGCAGACGGAGCTGGAGACCCGGCTCCCAGGACGCACGGCGCCGGGCTCCTCACAGATGCTCTGTGGACCGTGGGCGCCGCCCTCGGGGTCTCTCTCCTGCATCCTGTCTTTTCCGGCCAGAAGCAGCTTTCTGTCACTCTATCCTCATCCCGGGAAGACCTGGTCACGTCCCCTCCCTGACTCTCAGCTCGAACAGCGGCTGCCCCACAGGGGTCCCCAACCGAGGCCTGGGGACGGTTTCGAGGCAGTCCATGCAGGAGGTGATCCATGCAGGATGCAGACCTGAAACACCTCCCAGACCCGCCAAACAGCTTTGTTTCGTCTCTTTTCAACATCCAAACCCAAGGACACCCTGTCGCCAGAACAGATGGACCAGCACACCGCATGGGGCCGCTCACTCCTCACTCCTAATTGTCGCCTCCGGCCATGGGGGTCTTGCCCGGGGCCAGCTGCCTCCCAGCCGGGCTCTGGCCTCACAGAGGAGTCAGGCATCAGAGCCCGACCCTGGCTCCCCGGTCTCCTTGCTGGTCAGCCCCCCAGTTCCTCAGTGGAGGAAACCGGCCGGAGGAGGGAAGGACCATCCCAAAGTGTGCGGCTTGAAAATTCCAGAGCCACCCCTCTCTTCTCAGTCCAGCTCTTCCCAGAGCACTGGGTTGCTCCTTCTCGCCCTGCTGATGAGCGTGGGCCAGGACTGACCTGCCACTGACTCTTCTGGACCCTGGGCGTCTGCTTCTGACAGGTCACTGGCAGCCTTGCTGGGGTCCGCTGTGTGGGGTGACCCTGGGCTGAGGTCGGCGGGTGGGCAGACTTCCCCCACCAGAGAGGAATGTGACAGGGGGCCTCCTGTGCCCCCCACAGTCCAGCCACCCCTACCATCCCCACCCCTCCCCGAGCTGGTGGGCCCCGCGCTGGGCCGTACATCCTCCACTGCTGCGGCCTCTCGTCTCCCTGACCGTGACGGAGGCCCCTCCAGGGCTCCTGGCACTTCCTTTTGGCTGATGACAGATGGCCACGTGGTTCTGCCTCACCGGCCTCCGAGGGGCCTCTCCTGTCCCTCTGCCCTCTCAGTGGAGCTGCCGGCGTCCTCAGCAGGCAAAGTTGGCCTTGGACATGGTCCCCATCCTCAGCGAAGCCACTGAGCTGGCTCTGGCCAGTGACCGCGGCTGAGACTAATAAACTGTGGATGTGACCGAGCTCCCGCCTCGGTCACTCCAGGAGCGTGTGCACCGTGCAGGAGGACCTCACACGGCTTCGGCGAGAAGACGCCGGTGAGCGCGGGCCCAGGGCTGGCCTGGTGTCACGGCCCTCAGAGGGCGGCTCAGAATAAAGAGCAGGTGTGGCCTCCAGAAGACGAGGCATCGCGGGCACGGCCGGTCTCTGGGAATAACGACGGTGACCGTCTCCTGCGCGCCTCCGGCCCGGGCTCTGTGGGTCCAACAGTGCAGTGGCTTTACCCACGGACACCTCCATCTTCCTGATGGGGAAGGGGGGACCCGGAGAGGGCAGCACTTTGATCAAGCCGGTCCAGCGGAGGGTGGCACCCCTGGGATAAACATGGGAACTCTGATTCCAGGACACTTGAGATGCCGGAATCTTAAGACTTTCCCATGGCCTGGAGGGTGTGTGATGGGTCAACACCGATTCTTTTAGTTTGCCATTTACGAAGTGCTGACACGGGCCAGGAACAGAGCTAAGCAAGACGCACATTTTCTCCCTGAACCATGATCACAGTGCTGGCCGGGCAGGAGGTATTGTTATCTTCATTTTGCACATGAGGAATTGGAGGTTCAGAGAGATTAGGTAACCAGCTCCAGGTCACACAGCCAGGGAGTGGCAGAGCTGGGATCAGAAGCAGGCTTTTCTGACCCCACAGCCTGTGCTCTTACCCAAACCTCGGACACTGGCTCCCTCTGTTCCTTCATCCCAGGGCTGTTCACCAAGCACTTACTCTGCGCCAGCAGCGTGCCAGGTCCTGGCAAACAAATGCGCACGAGGCAGACGTGGTCCCCATCCTCACGCAGTTCACGCCGGGCCGAGATGCACGGCTCATGAAGTGAAATTCACGAGACGAAATGCAGAAGATCCGGGGGATGAGGTTATAGGAGGCACGTGGTACCTCGTGGACCAGGGAGAGTGGCCTGCCCTGAGGAAGGGGTCTGCAGACCTCGCCGTTGCCCCCCGGAGCAGGGTTTCCCCGAGCACGGGGACCCAGGGGTGACCTGAGTGTGTGTGAGTCACCTGAAGGACAGTGCAGGGCTGTGGCACCCACATCATGACTATGCCACCTCTGCCACCTTGCCTTCTCCAGCAGGAAACAGCTTCCTCCTGCTCCACAGGGCTCCCCCTGCTTACGGGCAGGGGCACCCCCGGACCGGCCCCAGGCTTGTTCTCATGCTTCCTGGGGCTCCCCCTGGCCAGGGGCTTCCCCGGCGTTGCTCCCTTGAGCGCGTCTGACCTCATCCGTGTGCCCAAGGATGCATTTGCCAGTAATTTCTGAGCATCAAATCGACAACGCTTTGCTTAGCCGGGAAAATTAACCAAGGGGCGGAAGCGGCGCTTTGCCTACTAGTGAGCAGTTCCAGACTTTTCCAACCCATCTGCCTACGGGCACGGCTGCTTTCCGTTCTCTTTTCTGATAAATATTTACCAAATTCACATACTGCGTGTGTGATTCAGCTCATTGATCTCTCTGAAATACGCTCAGCTCTTTTTGCTCGTCTCTTTTCCAATTTAGCATGCCTTTCTTATAAAGTATAAAAAACAGTTGAATCTTTAAATAAATTGGCTGAAAACACTCCTCGAACTGCTCGTAGATAAGCAACTAGGAAAAAGGGATCCCACAAAATGTCCACAACAGACTGAAGTCGTCCTGCTGTATGAAATGCTGTTCAGTTGATTAACAGGAGGGTTTGGAAAATGTGCTCTTAGAAAACCTGACCCTCGGGGATGTGGGCGTCAGGCTCCTTGTCCCCGGGCTACGGGTCACCTGGCCCCCATGGGTTTTCGCCTCAGAGCAGGTGGGAGCGACGCTCAGTGAACTTCCACGTTGAGCTGTGGTTCCCGACGTGGCTGAAGCCGCTCCCCCTGGGCCCCTCTCAAGACAAGTCTCCTTGGTGGGGTCTCAGGCTTCTGGAAGGACCCCAGCTTCAACCAGGGTTGAGGCTCAGTGCCCCTGTTCAGCGGGAACCACCGAACCGCCCGGTCCAGGTTGGAAGAGAAAAGTGGTTCCTCTTTTTTAGGTCATGAATCTTTTTGAAAACCTTCCAGAAGCTGTGATGTCTCTCCCCAGAAACACGCACACACACACACAACACACGCACATGGCACACATGTACAGGCACACACACACAGAGGCCCTGGAAAGGATTCTGCACGTAATTTTAGGTGAATTTTGGACCAGGGACGTCCATTCCAGGTCTGGAGCCCCTGGACCAGCCCTGATCTGAGCGACAGGAGACCTGGACCGAGGGGTCCCCTGCCTTTGACCTGCACTGTGACCTCAGGCTTGTATGCAGTGGGCCTCAGAGAGGGAGGGGAGGGGGTGGGGGGACGTGGAGACAGAAGCAGGGTTCAGGAGATGACAAGGAAAGGCAGCAGAATAGAAACCAAGAGATGAGAGAGGCAGAGGCGGAGAAGGAGCGAGAAAAGAAAGGGAGCGAGACAGGGAGAATGGAACTGAAGAGACAAGGGCAGGGGGAGGCAGCAGAGGGCTGGGAGGGGCTCCTTCAGGTTCGGTGGGCTGGACCTGGCAGCACCAGGACTCCTCTCTCTGGGGCACGTGGGGCCACCTTGTCCCCCCTTGGCCGCAGCCTCCTCCCCTAAGCCCCGGGGAGAGCACGTCCCGGCTCCGGCTCCGAGGGAGCTACCAGGCTGGAGAGGATGGGAGACCTGCCTGCCCTTGGCGCAGCACACAGCCTGGCTTCCCCAGGATTCCCCGACGGACCCATTAGCAGGGGACAAGCCTGGGCCACAGGGAGGGGCACAGGGAGGCTCGGCGCATCCTGGGGCCCAGCTCCCAGCTCCCACCGAAGTCCCCTCTGGCTCCCCAGCCCCATCTGCACTGCGGGGCACATGGGCCAGTGGCGCCAGAGGCTCTCCGCTCCTCCCCAGAGGAAAAGCGGGCGGGGCCAAGCGGCGCGGTGCGTTTCACAGGCAATTTGCTTTCTCTCTGGACTTGGGCATCTCACGGCGACACAAACGGGGCTGTATGGCTGCCCTCCTCTGGGGAGGAGGCGCTGCGGCAGAGCCCCGGGTGCTGGCCGTGGGCAGGAGCCCACGGACAATTTGCAAGGAGCTGACCCCACCCTCCAGGGGCATCCGCAGGCCACCCAGCCACAGACATGCTGCCCAACGCTCGGCTGGGCTCAACCCAGGAGCTCTCCCAGCCTGGGCCCCTCCTACCCCCACCCCGCAGGACCCAGCAGGGGAGACACAATCATCCATCAGGCCGGGAAAGAAAGCAGGGGCCCGGAGACCCACAGCCCCAGGAATACAGAGGCCCAGGAGAACGGCACCTCCCCTCATGGCTGTTCGCTCCGACTTACAGCTGTCGGCCCGTCCTTTAACCAGCAAAGACACTCAAGCTCAGAGAGGTCAAGAAACCAGACCCGAGTCACAGCATCCTTAGTTAGGGGACAGAGCGGGCTGCACACGCAAACCCAGCCCCACCTGCTGCCCAGCTCATCCTCGTGGGCTGACCCCTCCCCGAGAGTGTCCTGGGGGAGGGGGGGAGGCCACGCTTGCCCCCCCGCCGCCATGCATCTTTGTCAACCAGTGAACCATGTGGCCCACACGGCAGTTCAAGCACTATTAATGAATAAAGGTCCTTCAGAGGTCCTATTGTTTCTGCTTCAGAACTGGACGTGCAAAAGGGAGATGATTCATCCGACCGCTATCTTAGCTCTTCCCCGGGGAGTCACACGCTTGGGTTCCTAAAAGCGAGCCAGCACACAGCGCTGGGGGCCACATTCTCCGCGGACCCGCCTCGGAGGAGCCTGGCTCTTCAGACATGGAGGCCAAGGTCCCGCTCCCCCTGGGGGCCGCTCGCCCGCATGGCAGGCTCCGCGGGGACAGCCTGCTTGGCCCCCCTCAGGGTGAGCCCCCTGCAGTGTAGACACGGAGCCCCCCACGCCCGCCCGGGGCCCCTGTGGGTGGGGCAGGATGGGGTACTCACAAACAGCAGCAGACACTTGTTCTCACGGACGGCCCCGCAGCAGCCCAGGAAGCCAAGCAGGAAAAGCAGGCCCCCCATGGCCAGGAGGGTGTAGACGCCCGTGATGAGCAGGGGGTTGGCGGCCACGATCTCCCGGAAGCCGGTGGGGTCCACCAGGACCCAGATGCCGATGCCCAGCAGGCAGGCCCCGCCCAGCTGCTCCCAGGGCCCGTCAAGGAGGGAGGAGAAATGGGCAGACAGGGCGGTTAGACACTCTACACACACGCGCACACGCGCACACACACACACACACGCATGCACGTGCGCACACGCACGCCAGTCTCCCGAGCGCGGCCCTCGGACAGAGGCGCTGTGTCCCAGGGAGCCGGGCAGGATCCACGTGGGCCTCAGCCTCTGTCCCACTGTGCTTCTCATCACTCTGAATTCTCCTAGTTACTCTACCCTAAGTGGGGTAGCATCCTCGTCTTCGCCCCACGCCCCACCTCGGGCTGCTGAGATCCAGGTCACGAAGGGTTCATCTGCCCCTTTTATACTCTCCTTAACTCTCAGAGCTGCAGGATAATGACGTCGTCAAGTCCAACCTCTGATTCCACACTGCGGTCCAGAGTGGGCCAGCAACTCGGAGAAGGTCACACAGCAAGTTTGTGGCGGAGCCAGGGCTGAGTCCCAGGCCTCCCCGACTGCAGCCCCAGGGACGCTCAGCAAACTCAGGGATGCAGGGACACCTACGCTCACAGCACGCAGGGACACCTACGCTGTGCCTGTGCCGTGCCGGGCCAGGAAAACACAGACCAAAGGCATGCTCCTTGTCTCAACAGGAGCTCTTGTGAGGCTGGGCCCCCCACTCTCAAATCCAGGCCTCAGAAGCCTTCTTGTGTATGTCTTCATCTCCACGCTGGGCTCATCTTTGCAGAAAGGCAGCTTAGTCCAGAGAACGGGCTGTGCCCCTTGCTAGCTGTGTGACCTTGGCTAAGTGGCTTAACTTCTCTGAGCCTTAGCTTCCTGATGATTGAAAGAGCATGCAAATTCCCACCTCCCAAGGGAAGGAAGGACAGAAGGGACGTGACTCTGCTTAGCAGGTGTCAGTAACTATCTGTTCTGTGTCTCGGGCACAGCCGAGTACAGAAGCAGAACGGCTACAGGAGAACCAGTTTGGCACCGTGGGGTTTCGAAGGCTGTAAAGGGTTTGAACTCCCCGTGGGGCGGGGGGACCTGAGGAAGGACAGGCGGTGGCTGCAGGCAGACTGGTGAGCTCTGGCTTGGCGGAGAGGGGTCTGCAAGCTGGGGGGGCAAGAGCCGCATGGCTTGGGGCCAGAGACGAGGTTTTCAGGTGCAGTCAGGGCAGGGGTGGGGCGGAGACGCCCGGGGGACCGAGCAGCGAGGGAGGGAGGAGGGGAGAGCCGAGGGGACGGCCAACGTCAAAGTCGACATGTCTGCTCTCTTGTTTAATTTTCACAAGAGCCTGTTGAAGGAGGTGACTAGGGATGAAGATACTGAGGGTCAGAGAGGTGGGAGCCTGCGGGGCTCCCCGCTCTTCAGGAGGACGGGGCAGGGGAGGGAGCCCCGGGGAGGTGCTCTCATGGGTAAAAACAGATGGAGACAGACAGACATACGTCAGCCTTGACCAGAAAGGGCCTCTTTGTCCCAGTGACCCTGCCCTGGAGGACATCAGTGGGCACTGAGCCAGGTCTTGGCCTCACTAAGGTCAAAGGTTGAGGCGAGGTCAGGAAAGCCTTCAGGGGCTCAAGAAGCCAGAAGCGTGGGCCCTGGGCAGGTTGGCTTGTGGCAGGGCGCTGGGCTGGCCCCGACCTCAGGGCCTCTGTCCCTTCAGGACAGAATCCACGGTTGGATGGAGACGGAGCTAAACCACTGAGAGCCCACCCATCCCAGGCACTTCCTAAACCAACCTCGCTTAATTGGCAAAGAACCTGTTGAGGGAGGTAATTAAGGGATGAAGATACTGAGGTTCAGAGAGGAACTGGGTTTCAGATCACATAGCTGATAAGATGCCGAGCTGGGCTTCCAGGCCACAGAGGTTTTGAGTTACATCAGGGGCACCATCCGCTCAGCCCCCCAGCTCTGATGTCTGTCATTGCTCTGGGGACCAGGCTGGGCGGGGCCCTTCTGGTCGCCCCCATCCCCGCTTCTCCCCCACTCCCCACCAGCGCTCAGATCCCAAGGCAGCGGCCAGGACTGAGGCCCGGCCCTCTGCCAGAGGAGCTACGCATTCCAGGGTCTCTCCTACGACGGGGGGCTCGTTGGAGCTGGGTGGGCACCGCTGGGGGCCTCCCCTCCAGGAAATCCTGGCTGGGCAGGCAGACCTGCTCTAGCCTCGGCCCCTGCTCCCGCCCTGGGACGTCGCCCGGTGTGACCACTTCCAAGCAGCGGTCAGCTCCGCCCACCCAGCAGAAACACTCACGAAGAGGAAGAAATTGAAGACAAACAGCAGGTACTTCATGCAGCTCAGACAGTCGCCTTCCATGGTGCTCCGCCTGCAAAACAGCCAGGCCCCTCAGTACTCCGGGGGGGCCCACCTGGGAAGGATTCCTCCCCTCCCTCCCCCTCCCACACGGGGGGCCCCAGCCTGCCCTTGCAGCAGGTGGGGGAACCATTTCCTCCCCAGGGAAGGCGCTTTGCCCTGTGGGGCCAGAGTTAGGCGTGTTGCTGTGTGGCCTGAGGCAAATTACTCCACTTCTCTGAGTCTTGTTCTCTCCAACTTGACAATGGAGATTCAAACCAGCGTTCTTGCAAGCGAGGTGGCGAGGATTAACTGAAATAGTGCAGTAACACGCCTAGCACCGCGTCCAGCACGCGGCGGGAGCTCAGTGGCGCCACTTCATGATGGTACTTGATGGCAGAGGGGAGCCTGCCGTTTGGGAGGTGAGAAAGTAAGGCTCAGAGCCTTGAGGGATCTGCCAAGGTCACGGAGCGGGATTGGAGCTCAAGTCTGACAAATTTCCCACCACCCCACACGCCCCCCGGCTGCAGGGCTGCCCAGTGAGGGTGGGTGAAGGGAAAGGAGCTGCAGGTACCACCCTGGGGCCCAGACCCCCCCCCCCCACCTCCATCAGGAGACCTGCAGCATCCTGCCTGCCCCAGGAGCCTTCCCGTCCCAACCTAAAGTAGGCCGGCGGGAGCGAGTCACTGACTACAGCTCTATTCAGCCAGCATTTATTGTGCATCTACTGTATGCCAGGCCCCAGGGCTTGAAACCAATGAGATGCAGCTTCCCCAGCCCCGGGGAAGCAGACAGCTTCCGCCAGCACAGGTCAGACCTCAGGTGCACAAGTCTCGTCCAGTATTTCACACTCTGCTCATGACAGCCCCGGGGACAGCATGGGCCGGACCAGGAGGACCCGCCCTTCGTTTGTTCCAGGCCCCATCCTCCTGGAGGGCGGGGGAGGGCTGTGATTGGCGGGGACACAGCGGTACCGCTGGCCTGCTGTTCAGCCAGCATCTCTCTGATTGGTCCATGCCCACCAGTTGCCAAACCATCATCTTGACCGTCATCCCTGGCTGTGGGTCCTCCTTGTCTCTTGCGTCCCTCCCAGGCCCAGCCTCTCTCCCTCCAGAACAGGTCCCCAGGATGCCATGTCCAGGCCACCCCCAGGATGTCCCTCCTCCACCCCTGACCTTCTAGAAGCAGCATCTAAGCACAGTGGCTCCAGCACGGGCTCTGACCTCAGACACCCCTGGGCTCCAATCCCAGCTCTTCACTTTTCTACCTCTGTGTCTTTGGCAAGTGACTTAACCTCTTGGAGCCTCAGTTTCTTCATCTGTAAAAATGGGCATTTATGACCCACATCGTGGTGTGTTGGGAGAATTAAATAAGCCCTGCGTGAGGGCTCCCCCATGCCTGGCTGGAGTGGGGTGGACAGCTCTTACTGCGACCACACCTGACTCTGCAGTCGTGGGTGACTCGCTGGCTGTCGCTCCCCAGGAGATCAGAGCCAGGACGATGACCTGCACCCCACGTGCCACAGGCCGACTCACCTGCTGAGACCCTGTGCTCTGCGGACGGCGGGGAGCGGATGGGAAAGCGCACTCAGGAGCCCTGATCCTCGCCGCCACACGCCAGCTCCCTGAAGCCACTGCCCCAGACCCTTTAACAACCCCACAGGGCAGGAGGGGTTGTGTCCACTTTATAGATGAGGACACTGAGGCTCAGGGAGGTGGAGCGACCTGCCCAACATCCCGGAGCTTGTGAGCACGCTGCTCAGCCCGCTCCAGAGCTGTGCTCCACCCGGTCCAGGGGCAGCTGTTCAGGCAGAGCGGAGAGCAGAAGGAGCACTGGACTGGGAGTCCAGAGGCCCGGTCTTCTGCTCTGCACGTCCCTTCCTCTCTCTGGCCTCAGTGTCTTCACTGCAAAATGACAGAACGGGAATTGGACGACCCGCCGGAGTGGATGCCCCAGTGGGATGCTGCCAAGTCTGCAGGATGCTAGGCCCTGGCACCGCCCCCCCCCCCCCCCGCCCACTCAGGCAGGGCTGCTGAGCCGGCTCTGGCAGTTGAGCAATTAAGGGGCCTAATAAATATGGCAGCTCATAAACGGGCTACCTGTATTTATTACGGACTGCATCCAGCAGCGATGACAGCTACCGGGCGGCTTGTGGAGGGCTGGGCTCCCAGACAAATCCAATAAAAGGAGGCGGGTCTCCCGGGAAAGGACTCCAACAACCTCCAAGGTGAGGCGTGGAGAAAAATAGATGACGTGAGGCCGCAGATGGAGAAGTGGAGGCCCCAGTTCCAGCTCCTGGGCGGGAGGAGGGGGTGGCGAGTGGAAAGAGTGCTTTGGTGCCCAACAGAGGATCAAGCCCCAGCTCCGCCAGGCTCAGCGGGTGGCCTGGGGCACGTTCCTGAACGGCATGCAGCTGAGCTTCCTTGTCTTGAACATTAGTATAAAAATAATGCCTTCCTCCTAATGCATGGAAAATACTTAGTGCCAGACTTGGCACATGGTAGTTAATAATAGTAACAGCTGGCACAGCTGGAGTTCTTAGACGTGCCAAGGAACATGGAACGTCATGTAATCCTCACGAAGCTCCAGGATATAGGTAACGTGGGCTCCATTTTTCAGAAGAGGGAATTAAGGCTCAGAGAGGTGGACTAACTTGTCCAAGGTCACACAGCATGGAAGTGCCTGAGCCAGGATCTGAACCCAAGCCTGTCTTATTCTGGAGCCACGACTCTTAATCATCACTTTCAACGAATCCTAATTCCCTTGCCCCATTTATCCTCCTCCTCTAAAATTCAGGCCCCTCGTCACACCTTCTATGCCACTTTATTTCCGACTGTCCAGGGGAAACAGCCTCCTGGGCCATGGCCCACTGCCACACGGAAGTCAGAGGACCAGGGTCGCCCCCTCCACCCCCCACAAGGGGCTCTGACCGTGGGGACACACCTCCCCAGCCTATTGGTCAGACGAGTGACAGACACAGGGAGCCCCCAATCCGGGCCGTCGGCCCCGCCCACCCGCAGAGTCCTTGGAAGTCCAGAGCAGGACCGCACATCTCCCTCTAAGGGGAGCGGGCACCTGGACAGTCCCTGGAGCGACGCTGAGAAGGTATGAGACCACGAGGTCCCAGGGCCTCATCCTTTCTTAAAAAAGATGTGGGGAGGCACGTATGCAGGACCCGGGGCCCCTCTGCCGGGGGGGGAGATGGCGGCCCTCCCTGGGCCGGGGGTGGAAGGCCCCTGGGTTTGCCGGTTGCGGGGAGCCCACAGGGCCCGAGGGAGCCTCGGGGGGGCCGGCGGTCAGACGGGCCCTGGCTCCGCCGCCTTCCAGCCTCGTGACCGGGAGACATCACACAACCTCTCTGGGCCATTGCTTTCATGTCTGCAAAAGGGGGCCGAGAACGCTAACCTCCTCGGGGGATGGTACCGACCCAGGGTTAGACGATGATGCACGTAGACATTCCCAGGCCACGCGTCACCCTCGGTGGCTCTGCCCCTTCTTTCCACCAGGCGGCTCCTCTCACTGTCCTCCCAGACCCCGGCGACATCAGCCGCAGTGCCCCGAGGAGGAGAGGAAAGACCCGACGTTGAGGGTTTTGAGCGGGAGAGTGGGTGGGTCCAGTGGTTCTCAAACTGGGGTCCCTGAGACGAGCAATATCTAAAGCGATTTTCAGGATTTCAACTAACATCCCAGAAATTGTCCCCCCGCCACCGGCTGGCTCCAGGGGCGAGTGTCCTGGGTTTGGGAGCAATTAAACCACTGCAGGGTGGGGACTCTGTCCTTCAAGTTGTTCAGAAGCTCTGCCCACCAGGTGAGCATGATTCTGCAGGACAAAAACAAGGGGAATCTCTAACCTACACTTAAGAAACGACTCGGTTAGGTCAGCACTGTTTGGTAAATAAAATCCTTTAAATCTTGGGGCCCTGAGGGTTGAAATGCAGGCGTTGGACTCCCAGGCAACATGGACTCCATGTGGATCCCCACGTGCCAGGGAGAGCATGCGGGGCTGTGGTTCCAGCTCCTTCCACGTGGGCGTGTGCCCAGGCCGAGCGTGCAGGGGCCACGACCCAAGCCATGGGTCTCCAGGTCCCAAGGCTCCCGTGCGTCACAGCTCCCGGCCAGGAGACGGCTCTGGGCTTACAGGTGGGCGTTATCATACAACGTGACACCGCCCCCCCCCGAGATGTAACCAATGTTAATTGTCTCCAAACCAGGTGTTTAGGAGATTCAAGGGAATTTAAGGGAAACTTATTCGATGCTATTTTTATTTGTGTGATGATGGTTTAGAATCCAGCCTTGTATAATGTATGTCACCAGTATTTCCATAAAAAAAGAAGTTCTTGGTCGTGAGAAGGGCGGGCAGCACCGACCTGGCCCAACACCCTCACTGTGGAAATGAGAAAAGTGGGGCTGAGAAGGGAAAGGGGGCTTGGCCAAGCGACAGGACCAGCTGGCGATGGATCCGCGCCTGGAGCCTGCTCCTCGAGCCCGCGCCAGTGCCCGCGGGCATGCCACCTGCCCAACATTTTCCTTATTTGCTCCGGTGGCATCTTCCTTTGTCAGAACATATGTGTCGTGAAGGCATGGACATGCCTTTGTTCACTGCCATGTTCCTAGTGTCCAGAGCGGTGCCTGGCACATAGTGGGTCTTCAATTAGTATGTCTGAATGAATGAATGAATAGTGGAAAAGGGGAAATAGAGACAGAATGGTGGAGAGGCAGCCAATCTGAGAAACAGACGAAGGTAAGTCAGAGAGAGGGAAAGATGGAGAAAGACTGAAGGAGACAGGGGAAGAGCGAGAGAAGAGATAGGGAAGAGACGGACAGACAGGTAGAATTGAAGGGCAATCGGGCAGTGTCAGCATGGGGCGGAGATGCAGAGAGAGCAGGGGAGGCCAGTGCTGGCTCGTCACCTGGGCAGGTCTTCAGGCGTCAGCGAGATGGAGTCTCCTGGTCAAAGGGGCTCCTGTTTATTTCCTTTATTGGCCCAGCTTGTCCTATAAGAGAAAATATTCAGTTACTAGAGGAAGTCAGTAAGGAGCAGCCACGTTCAAGAAGCCGTTTAGGAAAACCCGCCCTCTGGACGCACACACTTGGGGCAAGAGCTTGCTGCTCTGGGCCCATTAGCACTAACGAAAAGCTCTCGGCACCTGGGGCCTGCAGCTGGGGAGGCCTGCACGGTGTGTGTGTCGGGGGGGGGGTTCTGCCAGATGGCAGATCCTGGGCGCCCTCGCTGGGGCTGCCAGGGAGACTCAAGGTGCCTGGCACGGGCTTCATCTGTGTTGTGTCTTCATCAGCTGCATGTGGCTGATGAACCGGGAGGAGACGTGGGTGTGGCAGCCCACACACCTGGATGCCACCTGGGACGCCTCAGCAGGGAGCGTGCCAGCAGGGCCCTGTTCATCAAACCCCAACTCTGACTCTCAGGAGAGAAACTTGATGCTGGAAAGGGTTCCTTAGCTTTGCGTAAAGATTTGCCAGAAGGCTCCTTTACGGAGCCAGCTCCCGGCGGTGGAAATGAGGCTTTGCTGTCAGCAGTCACATGGGCTCAGAGGGAGATCCTGTTCGATCCCACCTGTGGGGAATTCCACAGCCGGGTCCTGCTCAAGCACGGGGCTGCAGTGGGTATTCCCAGACGGAGGAAGGCGGAGATTTCTGGGTCTCAGGTGCCAGTTCAGATTCCTTCCCATTCACATCAGTGGAGGGGCAGTGGGTGAAAGTTTCTTCTTCATCCATCCATCCCCCCATTCATCAATCCACTATTCATCCAGCATCTGTCCATCCATCCATCCACCCATCCACCCATCCATCCATCCATCCACCCACCCATCCATCCATCCAGCCAGCCATCCATCCACCCATCCATCCACCCACTCATTCATCCACCTATTCATCCATCCATCCAGCCAGCCATCCACCCATCTGCTCATCCATCCACCCATCCATCCATCAGTCCATCCATCCATCCATCCATCCATCCATCATCTGCTCATCCATCCATCCATCCATCCATCGGTCCATCCACCCACCCATCCATCCATCCACCCTCCCACTCATTCATCCCCCTATTCATCCTTCCATCCATCTATCCATCCATCCATCTACCTATTCATCCATCCGTCCATCCATCCATGCACCCATCTGCTCATCCATCCATCCATCTATCCATCCAGCCACCCATTCATCCATCTATCCATCTGCTCAGTAGACATATATTGAGCTCCTACTGTGTGCCAGGGATGCTGTGTTAGGCAATGGAGATGCAAATAGGCATGTGCTCAAAGTTGGGTGGTTGTGGCAGTAGACTGGAGGAGACAGGGAAACAGATGCCAACAGGGCTGGGGACCCACAGGAAGGAGGGCTAACTCTCCAATGCTGTCACTCCCCTGGGGGCAGGAGGGAAGGTTTCCCAGGAAGTGGATGGGGCTGGCTAGTTAAGTCTTGAGGGAGTGTGGTGATGGGGATGGCAGCTGGGAAGGAGAAGGGGCTCCCTCCAGAGAGCTCGCTGTGGCCCCGGGAGCTGGGACCCCTGTTTGGCCTAAACATACAGGGTGGCAGGCTCTTGACCTGCCTGTCCCTGTGTCTGCTGGCCAGCTTTGGGCTACTCGCACATGTGCATGAGCTCACTAAATGCTCAGGACCCCCCTCGGAAGCAGGTACTGTAGCATCATCCTCATCCTCCAAGGGGGAACCGAGCCCTGGGGCGGGGGGAGTGGCTTGTCCAGCATCACACAGCTAGTAAGCGATGGAGCCAGAATCTGAACCCAGGAGTCAGAATCAAAACCGGCTTTGCTGGAAAGGGCTTGTCTGCTTTTGTGGTGACACCAAATGCTCACAACAGCCCTGCTAGGTGGACTCCAGCCCCATTTTGCAGAAGGAAACAGAGGTTTAGGGATGCATGTGGCAAAGCCGCGCATCCTCCTGAGATGCTGAGCTCTTTCTACAGCTCCAGGCCAGGAGTCGGGACAGCTGTGTCGGGGGCCGGGATGGGGAGAGGGCAGAAGCCCCGTCCCATCTGATCTGAACAGTGATGAGGCCCCTGAAATTGGCCGAGGGGTGAGGGGAGGTCTATGTACTCTGCCCCCTACCAGGCAGGACCCTGCCAGCACGGTGGACAGTGGGAGGCTGGGCACAGATGCCCCCGGGTCTAGGCGCGGCCCAAGGGGCTTTAGGCTGGAACTTTGTCTAGGGACGGGTCTCTGGGCAAGATGAAGCCACTTCAGGCCCACTCCCAGAGCTCGGGTCTCTGCAGCCTTGCGGGGGAGCCTTGAGGTCTAGCTCAGGGGCTGCGCCCCATGCCCGGCCCCAGGGCTCAGGGAGGCCGGGAGGGGGTCATGGTTTTCTCCTCTATTCCTCCCCTCCCGTTCCAGCCGGGGTCCCCCAGAGTCACCGTTCCCTGCCCAGCGTCTCAGGCTGGCAGGCGTCCTGAGTGAGACCCGGCCCGCCTTCCTCTGGACACGAAGGCTGGAATGGGAGGCTCGGGTGATGCAGAAGGCTGGCCCAGGGACGGGGCAAGGCGCTGAACCCTGTGCGAATGGCGGCAGGAGGCCCCCACCCATTGCATGCTGGCTCCTGCCTGACACGGCTTCTCCGCCCTTTTGAGTCCCAATTGCCCTGAACCAACTTCCCTTCTCTCCTTGCCCTCCTGCATCCCCCAGGAAGTGGCCGGCTCCTGACTGCTTTCTCACGTGGCGCAGGTGGAAAAGCCAGCCTGGGAGCCTGTCACGCTCCCCCATCCCTGCTGCTTCTGCACAGCCCGGGACGCCACCTCACGTGGCCGGCTCCCCTGAGACCTTCGGAAAGTCACCAATGGACGTGGGCGTGGGCGAGACCATGGACGTGGTTTGGGCAGCATAGATATAAATATTTTTCCCCTAAACGGCCCCAAGTTCAAATTAGTTGCTACAATTTTGTGATACCCAAACCTAATAATAACTAATAGTATTGAGCGTTTACCAGGTAGCAGACCCTGCTGGGCACGTCTCCTGCGTTCTCTTATTTAATCCTCAACAGGAGGTGGGTACCATTATTATCCCATTTTACAGATGAAACCGAGGCTCAGAGAATGTAATTAACCGGCCTGAGTTCATTCATGTGATTACTAAGACATGGCAGTGATTCAGGCCCAAGTCTGCGGGCTCCAGGCTCCTGACAAGACACCAGCCCATGGCTGTGGCACCAGAGAGGGGGCGTCCCCTGTTCAGTTTCCAAACTCCCCAACCCAGTGTGGCTCTGCCCTGAAGCAAGCAACCAGGCAGAGACGCAGGGAGGTGGCCAGCACCCTCCCCTGTGCCAGCTGGAGGCCCCAGGGGATGACCGATCCTGCCACCCCTTGACAGATGGGAGCCCTGAGGCCCGGATCCGGGCAGAGCCGGGGTGAGGTCACCCAGAGCCTCAGGGGTCTCCTCCGCAGGCCCCTGCCTGGCCAGACAGCTTTTTTAATCCAGCCCCTCCCACCGCCCCAGATGGCGCTCATCCCATCTGTGCCGAGCGGCCAGGGAGGGGTTCTCTGATGAAGACGAAGCGCTCAGTTCATAAATCACCCCTCCCACTTTCACTGCCCCCGGCCCTGGGCATGCTTTCCGGAGAAAGAGAAAGCAGGGGGACGTGAGCGATGGCGGAGCCCCATCCGAGCAGCCCCAGCGGCCGGGCTGCTGCAGAGCTGGGAGATGTCCTGGGTGCGCCCGCCAGGCGAGGGCGCTGTGGCCCCGCAGAGAAGCCTCACCACCGAGGCCCAGGCTCCAGCCAGCGGGGCGCCGCCCAGGTGCCGGGCGACCAGAGCCTCCACCGCCCCATCCGCCTCATCCGCGAGCTGGGGATTCTGCCATCTAACTCCCAGGTCATTGAGAGGATGGGAGACGGTCGGTGGAAGCACTTTAGGGCTGCACGGGCGTCCGCTCCTTCCCCTGCATGCCAGGCGCCCGCTAGTGCCAGCCTGTGCCTGGTCCACGGCACTGAGATCAGGGGCTGCCCTCGCTCCAGGACTCACTCAAGCCCAGTGCCATCAATAACCCGGTACTTGGAGAGGAGTGCTAGCAGCCTCAGCAACCAAGTGCTCCGGGCATGCTGGGCAGCACAGAGAAAGTGTTGACCACTGGGGGCTGCGGGGGGAGCCCAGAATCTGGGGGGGCCCATGTGCCGGGAGGACAGGGCAGGGCCCAACAGTGAGCCCCCAGGATAATGCCAAGCACTGCGTCATGGCCTGCACCTATAATGATCTTACTTGACCAGCATTCCGTTTTACAGATGAGGAAACTAAGGCTCCGAGGGGCTAGAAAGGCCCCAGAGGTAGAAAGGGAGGGAGCCAGAACAGACAGCCAGGTCTGCCCGACTCTAGGACGCACATTCCCCTCCATCCGGGGCCCAGCTTGTCGCAGTCAAAAGGATTCCTGCCATCAGGTTCGAAGCCGAGTGGGGAAGCCTCATTTGTTCGCTGGCGGTGCCTGCTGGGCCTCATCCCGAGACAGACGGTCTCGTAAACAAGCAGTTGGCCTGAAATCCTGGCGCGCCTGGTGATGGCACAGACACGGGGACATGGACACAGCTGGGCGGGGACACAATCTAATTAGGCTCCCCGAGAGGGTTAAGGACACCATGCAGAGTCTGCGTGGATGCAACCGGACCCTAAATGGCAGCCTCCCTGGCCCCAGACTCAGACGTGAATGGCTGGGAAGGCCTGTCTCTGGTCTACGGGGCGAACCAGGCCAGGTGCTCGGTCCCGCCACAAGCCCCTTCTTCCGCCCCAGAACTCCGGCGGCCGGTTTCCCTTGGAGAATCTTCAAAGAAGGAAGAACCTTAGCAAGGGCTGACTCCAGCTCCCTCTTTTCCCACTGGGGGCTGCTGAGGCCCAGAGAGGGGCAGGGTCTTGCCCAAGGTCACACAGCAGGGCTGGAAGGAAGAGCTCCTGATTTGAAGCCGGCTGCTCTTCCCACCATTCAAGGTGGCCTCCACAGACTGCCATCGTCCGTCATCTTGGCTTCTGGAAGCATTTTACGCA